TTATGAACTAATTAAAATGTAACAGATAATGACACTTAGTATTTTCATTATTAAAAAAAATTAAAAATTAAAAAAATTAAAGAAACCCTATTAACATTTAATATGTGTGAAAATAATGAGATTTGATATATACGTTGAGTAGTAATGACTATGGTGGGAAAAAAAAAAAAAAGAACATGTTACGAAATTTTAATTATATAAATCATTTTCTGGTTAATGGTGAAGAATTTAAAATATTTTAATAGAAAATATTTTATGATTTGAGTGTCTAATTTATTAATTTTTTTAATTGAAAAACTCTTTTTTTGAGTGTTGAGTGTGTGATTTATTAAATTGTTTTAAATTTGAAAACTCTTTTTTTAATGTATGATTTATTAATTATTTTTTCTTAATTAGAAAACTCCTTTGTTGTTTGATTGTAAGAAGGATAATTTTAAGATAAAAAATGCATTTTTTATTTAAAAAAGAAAAGTGTTTGAGTGTCTGATTTATTAAATATTTTTTAAATTAAAAACTTAAGAAATTTAAATTGATTACTTAGAGCTCTCTTAGCTCTTCTCACTAAAAATTTCATTTTACTTATATAGTGGTGTTTTCAAAAATTAATAAAAAATTAATTTTTTGATTTTTTATGACTTTTTGATTTGAAGAAAAATAGAGAGATGATTTGACCTAAAAAAGTCAAAATAACTGGCTTTTTACTGCATTGCCAAAACGCCCCATATAACTTTACCCATTCTTTGTCTATTTTATTTAACAAAAATAGAAAATTAGTTTAAATTAAAAATAATTTAGAAGTTTAAAATTGAAATTGTTAAAATTAAAAACTCAAGATTTATTTTATTATAAGGCCTCTTTTGGGAACATACTTTTTTAGTAACTTTTTGACTTTTTGGCTAAAATATGATGTAAAAAAACTAGTATGTTTGGGATGATTTTTTGATTTTGTACGAAAAATGTGTAAAGAGTAAGAGAAAATTGAATCTTTGACTTTTGGGTATAAGTTGTTGACTTTTTGACTTTTTTACTAAAATAGTCATTTGGCCTCGTTTGGGAATCATATTTTTTAGCAAAAAAGTCAAAAAATTACTAAATTAGCTAAAAAAGCCAATAACTCATATCAAAAAGTCAAAGATTCTATTTTGTCTTTACTTTTTGCACATCTTTTCGTAAAAGCCAAAAAATCATCCCAAATATACTAATTTTTTTAGTTCATATTTTAGTTAAATAGCTAAAAAATTATTAAGTTAGCTTGTTCCCAAAGGAGAGGGACTAAAATTTTTGAATTTTTATTTTTTCTATAATTTTTCCAAGTATTTTTTATTCAATTGTTGCTTTCTCCTAAATTTTTTTAAAAAGCTGAAAAATCAGTTTTTGTGTCGTTCACAAAAAAAATAAAAATAAAAAATAAAAACAAAAATAAATCAGTTTTTATGGTGGTGACTGACAAACGAGGGTAAGCCAGACGTGTATAGTAAAGTGGGTGGGTGTCAAATCCAATCTAAAAAGGAAAGGAAAGGAAAGGAGTTGAACATTTGAGAAGATGGAGGGACCCAAAAAAAATCAAAAGCTAAAATGTGGGAAAAAGAAAGGGATTATTATAGACAGAGAGTTAATGCTGCACTCTGCATCGGGAAACAGCTCCCGCGCTGTTTTCGCGCGCCCCCATCTCACCGAGACCACACCACACCCTCCTCACTGACGATATAGATCCTGGTCCACCCTTTCTCTCTCTATGCATGACACAAATCTCTCTTTCTTTCTCTATGCATATTTTTCATCTGAATAAATTATAAATGCATCTGAAATAATTATAAATTATTTTTTATAATTTTAAAAATTACATTATACTTTTTAAGATTTTTAATTTCATAATAAATAAGTTTTTTTATTAATAAATTATCAAGTTAATTAACAATTTTTAATATTGTTAAAATTTTATTTCAATTAATAATTCAGATAATTTTATTATTGTATAGGTGAATAGTTAGAAATTTTAATTTTTCAATTAATTTTGTTAAATAAAAATTCTAACAGGGAGGTATAAGTTAATTAACAATTTTTAATAATGTTAAAATTTTATTTCATTTAATAATTCAGATAATTTTATTATTGTATAGGTGAATAGTTATAAATTTTACTTTTTCTATTAATTCTGTTAAATAAAAAATTCTAATAGGAAAATATTTGTAATTTTTAAAACCATAAGGGACAATTCGCATTTTAAACAAAATTCAGAGATGTATTCGTAAATTATGTATTTGAGTAAATTATAAATATATTTTTAAAATTTACTTAAAATATCATTTATATTTTTTAATTAAAAAAATTACATCTCATTTTTTAAAATTTTTAATTATGTAATAAAAATTAATTTTATTAATAAATCATTATGTCAAAATTATATATATTAAAAAAATTCATTTTTAATTTAAAAATAATCAGCCATGATCAGAAAGACCATTTCCAATGGTCAATCATAAGAAGGATGAGCATCCCCGGGGTGGTCAACCATCAAAAGAAACCGGTTAATATTAGGGATATTAAATTTTTTATCAAATAAATGATTAAATATTTCATATAAGTGTGAGATTATTTGGTAAAAAAAATCGAAATTAATAACATTTTTCAAAGAAATATCTTCCCCATTCAAACATCATCACTTCTCATTTTTCATTTAATAATGGACAGATATATTTCTCATATTTTTTGATAAAAGAATAAAACAATAAAATTTTGAAAAAAAAAATTTTAAATGTTCATATCCGGCCAGACCTGACCCAAGCCCGAGCCCAATTCTAAACCCACCAACGCCAACTCGGTCCAAAATTTGGCAAAAGCCCAGGCGGCCCGACATTGGCTGGCCCGAGCCGGGCCATGCCCAATTTACACCCTTAAGTAAGATACAGAAAAAGTTGGTTGACTTTAAGCCTAACCCAATGTCTTCAACAAGTCTTAGCACGAAAATGTGACACTCTATGTTAATAATCAGAGAGAATTTTGATTATATTTATTGTGATGTTGACTTATTATAATTATTATTTTAATTATGATCTAAAAATTTTTTGTTATAGTTCAAGTGATTTTGGTTATAATCTAGTGTTGTTATTTTAGTTATGTGATTTAGTTATTATACTTTATGGTTGCCATAACTTAGATATAGTACGCCTCTTTGAGGTGTCTATGGTGGAAGGACCCCTTCAAGCAGACCTTCCTCAAATGTGAAATAATCAAAAAGAGCCCTAGTAGAGTCCAGTCGTGCTGGGCCTGAACTACTTTCTAACATGTGCATCCCTATATTATGCCGTCCTACCTTGAATTGGGCTTCTAACTGATCTAGGGCCATGAACTTTAACAAGCACAAAAATCTTTAATAGGTTGGTCCAAACTAATTTTACAGGCGTGGCCGATGACTTTGGGGTGGTTTGTTTGGTGGGATTGAGTCATTGGATTAACAAAATAAATAGTATGTTAGAAAAGTAAAAGTCGGCCTAATAGTCCTTCCATATGTGAAACAACTCAATCATCTAGGGGGTGCAGTAATGGACGGATTGAGCCAACCTTCAGATTAAATAATTAAATGATGAAATTAATCTTTAAATATATAATATTGATTTCTTTTATTTTCTTAAACATGTATAAATTAATCTCGTGATATATAGTAGTTAGGGGTCCCCACATAGTCTGCGAACAAAAAATTCGATATTACCCAACAACCAGTCCCATGGCTTGTCCCAACCCACTTCAGTATCCAATACATCCCAACCCATAAAAAATGATTTAGGGGTTTGGACAAAGATTTGTAATCCAAGCCTGCCTGGCCCATAAGAGCTCGCATGAGTAAATCTAATGTTTAGTTTGATTTTTTTTGTTCTTATGTTTAAAAGTTTTATTTTTTTCTTTATGTTTTTTTCCCTCCAGGTGTAGGTATTATACATTACTTGATTTTTTTTATTATTATATGAGATGGAAAAAGGTATAAGAAAAAAAAATCAAAATACTTGAATTATGTTGGAAAGTAAATAAGAAAAATAACTAATGAAAATATTAAAAACATGTTATAAAAAGTGTGTAGAAGTTAATAATATAAGTGTAATGAAAAATATGTAATCCGATTCGATTTGATTTTGGCTCATAAGATTTGGACATATAGGTGTGACGTGTTTTAATTTTTTAAATAGGTCTAGTCCATACCAATCTGTTAACTAGTCAAAGTCCAAAAAATCCGTTAAAATATGAGATTTTAACATAATATTTGCGGACTGGATAAGCCTGGTCGTCCATTGATGACTTAGTAGTCTTCTCTTCTTTGTTTTTTCTTTTTCTTTTTCTTTTTTTCTTTTGTATTAGCAAAATAAAATTTTAAAAAAAATCAAAAGAAAAATAATATATAACATCTCTTTTTTTTTAAAAAAAAAAAAAACATGTTGAATGGTTTTAAAAATGTGTAAATTAATCTCATGATATATAATAGTCTTCTATTATTTTTTATTTCCTTTTTATATTAGCAAAATCATAAATGAGAAATAATGAAATAATGATAATATCACTAAAAAAATGATATAAATTGAAAAAAATTGAATAATAATAAAGAATAATAATAATAATAATAATAATAATAATAATAATTGATACTAATTTTAAAAATTGATAAGCAATTGATAATTTTGATACTAAAATCACAACTAATAATAATAATAAAGAAAATAAATACAGATATAAATAATTAAAATGAATATATGAAAAATAATATGTAATAAAATCACAACATTAATATAAATTACAACATGAATATTAATTTTAATGAATTAATAAATAAATAAATAATTAACAAAAAAAGAAGAGAAGAAAAAACCTTTTTTTAGTTTTCGGATTGCGGTTTGACCCACACCTACCCAACCCGACAACTTTTTTTTTTTTTTTTTTTTTTTAAATCTGACCGTTCAAAAAAAACCCTTTTTTTCCCCTTCAAATCTGACCGTAAAAAAAAAAAAAAACCCTAATCAAACTCACTCACTCTATCTCCTCTCGGTCTGTCTCTCTCTCACTCTCACTTTCGCGATTTTCATCTGTCCTGCATACACCCACTTATCGAGTCTCTCTCTCGTCGCAAGATCGACCGATCGACCTCATCGCACACCTTACAGGTAAAAGCCCCTCTCTAAATCTCAATCTCTGTCTATGTCTCTCTCTCCCCGATCTTTGGTTTTTTTCCAACATATCAGATCTCTCTGTCTCTAATCTGTCTCCCTCACTCAGTCATCTCACAGTCTCTTACTCTCTGGTTTGGGAACAGGCTAATTTAGTAACTTTTTGGCTATTTTGGTTAAAATATGAACTAAAAAAAACTAAGGCTCTGTTTGTTTGTGCTTTGAAAATAGTTTTCAACACTTGAGTTTGAGCATGATGTTTGGTAAGAGTTTTGGAATTAATTTTTCAAAACTCTGCCGGAAGCTCTGTCTATATGTCAAAGCATTCTGTTTGTTGCAGAGGGGGCGTTTGAGGGAACGGGACGTCCGGCCGATTGTCCGAAACAGTGAATTTTTTATATTTTTTTTTGCAATTGATTTATATAATCGGGAAAAATATTTTCTAAAAATTTTTAAATTTTTTATATGCTTTAAAATAATTTTGAGTTGTATGTTTAGTTATGAGTTGTAAATTTTTGTATCACATATCAAATGTCACATCAACAATTCCCCACTCAAATCAAACCTCTTTTCCAAAACCATTTTCAAAACTCTTTACCAAACAAATTTTCTACACTCAAATCATAATTCTACAACACACAAACTCAAAATATAACTCATACTCTCAAATCACATTTACAAAATACAACCAAACGCAGGCTAATATGTTTGAGAAGACTTTTTGACTTTTTACAAAAAGATGTGCAAAAAGTAAAGAGAAAAGAGAATCTTTGACTTTTTGGTATTGGTTGTTGGCTTTTTGATTTTTTTAGTGACTTTTTTACTTTTTGACTAAAAAAGTCACTTGCCAAACGAGGTCTGAGTCATTGGATTAACAAAATAAATAGCATATTAGAAAAGTAAATGTCGGATTAATAGTCCTTCCATATGTGAAATAACTCAATCACCTAGGGGGTGCAGTAATGGACGGATTAAGCCAACCTTCGGATAAAATAATTAAATGATGAAATTAATCTTTAAATATATAAAATTGATTTCTTTTATTTTCTTAAACATGTATAAATTAATCTCGTAATATATAGTAGTTAGGGTCCCCAAATAGCCGGCGAACAAAAAATTCGATATTACCCAACAACTCGTCCCATGGCTCGTCCCATCCCACTTGAGTATCCAATCCATCCCAATCCATAAAAAATGATTTAGGGGTTTGGACAAAGATTTGTAACCCGAGCTTGCCTGGCCCATAAGAGCTCGCATGAGTAAGTCTAATGTTTAGTTTGATTTTTTTTGTTCTTATGTTTAAAAGTTTTATTTTTTTCATTATGTTTTTTTCCCTCCAGGTGTAGGTATTATACATTACTTGATTTATTATTATTATTATATGAGATGGAAAAAGGTATAAGAAAAAAAAATCAAAATACTTGAATTATGTTGGAAAGTAAAAAAGAAAAATAACTAATGAAAATATTAAAAATATGTTATAAAAAATGTGTAGAAGTTAATAATATAAGTGTAATGAAAAATATGTAATCTGATTCGATTTGATTTTGGCTCATAAGATTTGGACATATAGGTGTGACGTGTTTTAATTTTTTAAATAGGTCTAGTCCATACCAATCTGTTGACTAGTCAAGGTCCAAAAAATCCGTTAAAATATGAGATTTTAACATAATATTTGCGGATTGGATAAGCCTGGCCCGTCCATCGATGACTTAGTAGTCTTCCTCTTCTTTGTTTTTTCTTTTTCTTTCTTTTTTTTTTCTTTTGTATTAGCAAAATAAAATTTAAAAAAAAAATCAAAAGAAAAATAATATATAACATCTCTTTTTAAATTTTTTTTTTTTAAAACATGTTGAATGGTTTTAAAATATGTGTAAATTAATCTCATGATATATAATAGTCTTCTATTATTTTTTATTTCCTTTTTGTATTAGCAAAATCATAAATGAGAAATAACGAAATAATGATAATATCACTAAAAAAAATGATATAAATTGAAAAAAATGAAAGGATTTGTCAAATGAATAAATGAATTACTAAAAATGAAAAAATGAAATATTACTAAAAATAATTAAAATGAATAATAATAATATGAAAAAATAAAATAAAATAATAATAATAATAATAATAATTGATGGACAAATTGATACTAATATTAATAATTGATGAACAAATTAATAATAATAATAATTGATACTAAGGCCTCGTTTGGAAACAGGCTAATTTAGTAACTTTTTAGCTATTTGGCAAAAAAGGTAAATAAAAAAAACTTGTATGTTTGGGATGACTTTTTGACTAATTACGAAAAGATGTGCAAAAAGTAGAGAGAAAAGAGAATCTTTGACTTTTTGGTATGAGTTGTTGACTTTTTGGCTAATTTAGTAACTTTTTGGCTAATTGGCTAAAAAAATAAGTCTCCAAACGGGGCCTAATTTTAATAATTGATGAGCAATTGATAATGTTTATACTAAAATCACAATTAATAATAATAATAAAGAAAAGAAATACAGATATAAATAATTAAAATGAATATATGAAAAATAATATGTAATGAAATTACAACATTAATATAAATTACAACATAAATATTAATTTTAATGAATTTATAAATTAAAAAAAAATTAACAAAGAAAGCAGAGAAGAAAAAAAATTTTAAAAAAAAGAAAAGAAAGTAAGGCGAAAAGGAAAAGAAAAGAAAATAAAATGAAAAAGAAAAAGAAAAAAATGTATTACAAATAAAATCACAAATTTTATATTTTATAAGGACAAAAATAACAATTATACAGCAAAAAACTATTTTATAACTTATTTACCAAACACTACTCTGTTACTTAAATCCATAATTCCACAGTTCCATCAAACAAATTACCAGCTTGTGTTCACAATGATAAGTTATAATCTCTAAGGCCCCATTTGTTTTGGGGTGTAATAGATGGTAAGACTGGGCATAGGGTCATCCCGCCCGTCCAAACCGCCATACCCGATCCCGAACCGTGCATGTATGGGCTGTTTCGCAAACATATTAGGGTAGGGTGTGGTTTGAATTTTATCTAATTTTCTGATTGCGGGTTGACCCACACCCGCCCGCATAAAACTCTCTGGGTGCATTTGTTTGGACGGACCGGACAAGGGGGGATTATAATCTATCGGACTATTAGTCCTGGGATACATTGTCCCGGAACTATTTAGTTGGAAAATTATTTTTATAAAAAATCTTAAAAAACAAAATTTATATATTAAAAAAAATTAAAATAAATATAAATATCTATAATTATCCCGTGCATAGCTATCTATATCTATCTATATCTATACTATATATTAAACAAAAGGGGGTTTTTAACCCGAAGCCTTATGGGAGTTCTAATCTCACAATCTAAATTTCTTGATTTTTTGATTTAAAAAAAAAAATCTTAACATTTATTAACTTCTCTCAACTCCCAAGTCTTATCCTCATAATAACACTTTAATGCATTAAGAACAAGTATAAAAAAAAATCTTTAAAATCTAACACATATGACTTCCTTGAAAAGTCTCAATACATATGATTATTATCCCTCATAATAACACTTTAATGCATTAAGAATAAGCATAAAAAAAATTTCTTGAAAAGTCCAACACATATGATTATTATCAAGGCCTATAGGAGCTTCAATATCCCAATCTGAAATTTCTAAATTTTTTATTTAAAAAAAAAACCTCAACATTTATTGATTTGGTAAAAATCTCCTGATCAACATTTATTAACTTTTTTCTTTCCACATGCCTGCCTTTATTGATTTGGTCAAAATCCTCTCATCAGCATTTAAAATCCCCTCAAGCAAATAATTATAGATACAATCAGTGTATAGTTACTGCAGTACCCTTTTTAACTTTTCCCATACACTATGGTTAGTGATAAGATTGTTAAATTATTTTTATAAAAAATCTTGAAAAACATAATTTATATATTAAAAAAAATCTAAAACAAATATAAATATCTATAATTATCCCGTGCATAGCACGGGTGATAGGCTAGTACTATATATTAAGCAAAATGGGGTTTTTAACCCCCAAGGCTAGTCGGAGCTTCAATATCCCAATCTGAATTTTCTAAATTTTTTATTTTTTATTTAAAAAAAAAAACTAAGTATTTATTGATTTGGTCAAAATCTCCTGATCAGCATTTATTAAATTTTTTCAATCCACATGTCTTTTCACATACCTACATTTATTGATTTGGTCAAAATCTACTAATCAGCATTTAAAATCCCCTCATATAAATAATTATAGATACAATCCGTGTATAGTTACTGCAGTACCCTTTTCAACTCCTCCCATACACTATGGTTAGTGATAAGATTGTTAAATTATTTTTATAAAAAATCTTAAAAAACATAATGTATATATTAAAAAAAATCTAAAACAAATATAAATATCTATAATTATCCCGTGCATAGCACGAGTGATAGGCTAGTACTATATATTAAACAAAAGGGGGTTTCTAAACCCCAAGGTTTGTTGAAACTCCAATATGCCAATCCTAATTTTCTAATTTTTTGTTTTTTTAAAAAAAAATTAACCTCAGCATTTATTAACTTCTCTTAACCCATAAGACTTTTTGACTTCTCTCATAATTACTGCAGTACATTTTCCAAAACAAATAATATGCATATTAAAAAAAATTAAAACAAATATAAATATCTATATCTATATCTATCTCTAACCCACAAGTTTTGTGGGAGTTCCAATATCCCAATCTAAATTTCTTGATTTTTTGATTTTAAAAAAAAACCTTAGCATTTATTAATTTCTCACAACCCCCAAGCCTTACCCTTATAATAACACTTTAATGCATTAAGAATAATTATAAAAAAAATTCCTTGAAAAGTCCAACACATATGAATTCCTTGAAAAGTCCCAACACATATGATTATTATCCCTCATAATAATACTTTAATGTATTAAGAACAGGTATAAAAAAAATTCCTTGAAAAATATAACACATATGATTATTATCAAAATATTAAAATTTAATATAATATAAAAAACAAGACATTTAATTCATTAAAAAGTTAAACACATATGATTATTATATTAAACTTTAATATAATATAAAAAAGAAAAAAGAAAAAGAAGACATTTAAAAAAAAAGACATTTAAAAATTACAATTCACATATATATCCCAGGATCAGCATTTAAAAATTACAATCCACATGTCTTTCCATATGCCTGAATTTATTGATTTGGTCAAAATTATCTAATCAGTATTTAAAATCCCCTCATACAGATAATTATAGATACAACCCGTGCATAGTTACTGCAGTACCCTTTTTAATTTCTCCAATACACTATGGTTAGTGATAAAATTGTTAAATTATTATTATAAAAAATCTTAAAAAACATAATTTATATACTAGAAAAATCTAAAATAAATATAAATATTTATAATTATCCCGTGCATAGCACGGGTGATAGGCTAGTAATAATAATAAAGAAAAGAAATACAGATATAAAGAATTAAAATGAATATATGAAAAATAATATGTAATGAAATTACAACATTAATATAAATTACAACATAAATATTAATTTTAATGAATTTATAAATTAAAAAAAAATTAACAAAGAAAGCAGAGAAGAAAAAAAATTTTAAAAAAAAGAAAAGAAAGTAAGGCGAAAAGGAAAAGAAAAGAAAATAAAATGAAAAAGAAAAAGAAAAAAATGTATTACAAATAAAATCACAAATTTTATATTTTATAAGGACAAAAATAACAATTATACAGCAAAAAACTATTTTATAACTTATTTACCAAACACTACTCTGTTACTTAAATCCATAATTCCACAGTTCCATCAAACAAATTACCTGCTTGTGTTCACAATGATAAGTTATAATCTCTAAGGCCCCATTTGTTTTGGGGTGTAATAGATGGTAAGACTGGGCATAGGGTCATCCCGCCCGTCCAAACCGCCATACCCGATCCCGAACCGTGCATGTATGGGCTGTTTCGCAAACATATTAGGGTAGGGTGTGGTTTGAATTTTATCTAATTTTCTGATTGCGGGTTGACCCACACCCGCCCGCATAAAACTCTCTGGGTGCATTTGTTTGGACGGACCGGACAAGGGGGGATTATAATCTATCGGACTATTAGTCCTGGGATACATTGTCCCGGAACTATTTAGTTGGACCAAATTTGTATCCTATGTTTGTTTAGTCATAGGATTAGATGTCTAGATTGGACTATTTTTAGTTATCCAATATTTGTTTGGGATATTATGGAGAAGGATAAATGCTCAAATGACTATTTTATCATTTTCAATTATTTACTAAGTAACAGCAATATTAAACATACCTTTAATATTTTAATTATTTTTAGTTAGATTAAATAAAAATTTGTTTTATTTTATTTTTTGCACAATATTTTAATTATTTTAATTTATTATTTTCAATTAAATTAAATTTATAATTTATATATTTTTATTTAATATATAATTTTAAATTAACAACACTAAAAAAATAATTTATAAATGTTCAAGAGACTATTTTATCATTTTCTAATTGTTTGCTAAGTAATAATATGGAGGGTAAAATTGACATTTCATAAAATAATTTCATGAAATACCAATTCCATGATTTCTATCCCACCTCTCCCATGAGATAAAATAATCTTATATTTGTAAGACTAATAATCTAAAACAAAAAAATAAAACAAATAATAAATTATTAATCCGATAGAATTAATAGTCCCATCCCACCCCGTAATCCTTCAAAAACAAACACTGACCGAGTGGGACTCTCTCTTTCTCTTTTTTTTCTTTTTTTTTTTAATCTGTCCGTTCAAAAAAACCCTTTTTTTTCCCCCTCAAATCTGATCGCTCAAAAAAAATAAAGCCCTAATCAAACTCACTCACTCTACCTCCTCTCGGTCTGTCTCTCTCTCACTCTCACTCTCGCGATTTTCATCTGCACTGCATGCACCCACTCATCGAGTCTCTCTCTCGTCGCAAGATCGACCGATCGACCTCATCGCACACCTCACAGGTAAAGCCCCTCTCTGAATCTCAGTCTCTGTCTATGTCTCTCTCTCTCTCCCCGATCTTTGGTTTTTTTCCAACATATCAGATCTCTCTGTCTCTGATCTGTCTCCCTCGCTCTGTCATCTCACAGTCTCTTACTCTCTGGTTTTGCATCTACACCGATCGACCAACTCTCTCATCGCACCGATCGACCTCACATCACAGGTAAGCCTCTCTCTCTCTCTCTCTCGCCCCGATCTTTGATTTATTTTGCAACATATCAGATCTGTTAATATATATATATATATATATATATATATATTTTTTGTAGCAACAGATCTGCCTGTGTTTGTTTGGAATGTATGTTTTTTTTTTATTTAATGTATGTGTTAATTTTGGAATTAAATCTGTTTAATTAAATGGAGTATCAGTTCATAAATCTGTATGTGTCTGTATAATTTTTGGAATTAAATCTGTTGAATTAAATGGAGTATCTGTTCATAAATCTGTCTGTGTCTGTATAATTTTTGGAATTAAATCTGTTTTTTTTTTTTCTTTTTGAATCTGTATTGGAATCGTGCTACCAACAATTTGGTCAAATTTGTGCTTTCATGAACTGATCTAGCTTAAGCAACAGGGACTTGGGAAAATGATAGTGTTTCACCATCTCAGCAGTAGCTGTGATCCCTCTAACATCTCTCATTTATATTACATTGACTTTTCTAAATGTATGAGTTACCGTGTTGGATGCTTATAGACACTTGGGTAAGGGTAATTCAACTTCACCATAAAACTGTATTGAAGGTAGATGTAGTTTGTAGTATAGCTGTCAAATCCAATTGAACTAGAAATTTAAGATATTATTGTGTGATGACATTGATGTCAGGTTATGTGTGCAACAAACAAAAAAATGTAAGTTATAACAATGTCGTTCAACATGATTTACATATTTTTTAAAATTTTGGTGTCTGAAGTCAGAATCTCACCCGTGAACTTATTTGGGCAAAAAACATGTCTTCTCTCTTTCCATGTTCATATTTTAACAAAGTTTGTAAACTGATGATGATGTCCTTGCACTATATCTAGGTTGTACCTTTTATGAAGTAACCGTGTATATTACATTTTCGCCTAGTGATTTTTGAAATGGTTTCCGAGTTACGGTACTCGTATGCCATTAGCACTATGCTGGGATTTGGTTGTTTTTCTTGTTCATTGTTTCTTTTGGCACCTCTATTCCATCTATTCATTATTTATTTATGAGCAGCTATTCTTTACTTATTGATGAGCATATATTTTTTACTTTATACTCTCCTTTGAACTTTCTTCACAGCGTGACCAGGTTCCTAATTATTGTATGTAGTTTGTAGTATAGCTGTCAAATCCAATTGAACTAGAAATTTAAGATATTATTGTGTGATGACATTGATGTCAGGTTATGTGTGCAACAAACAAAAAAATGTAAGTTATAACAATGTCGTTCAACATGATTTACATATTTTTTAAAATTTTGGTGTCTGAAGTCAGAATCTCACCCGTGAACTTATTTGGGCAAAAAACATGTCTTCTCTCTTTCCATGTTCATATTTTAACAAAGTTTGTAAACTGATGATGATGTCCTTGTACTATATCTAGGTTGTACCTTTTATGAAGTAACCGTGTATATTACATTTTTGCCTAGTGATTTTTGAAATGGTTTCCGAGTTACGGTACTCGTATGTCATTAGCACTATGCTGGGATTTGGTTGTTTTTCTTGTTCATTGTTTCTTTTGGCACCTCTATTCCATCTATTCATTATTTATTTATGAGCGGCTATTCTTTACTTATTGATGAGCATATATTTTTTACTTTATACTCTCCGTTGAACTTTCTTCACAGCGTGACCAGGTTCCTAATTATTGTATTTCAGCTTATTTGTAATGATAATATTATCAAGAGCAAAATCCGGACCTTGTTAGCATAACTTGCGGCAGTGATGTCATATAATGGTCCAAATGAATTATTTTTATACACCAGAGTTTTGTGATTAGAATTTACTTGGATCAGCAAGTTATCACTATTCATTAGATTGTGTTTAGGTTTTCAATGTGAATATTTACAAACATTGTTCACTTGCCTAGGATTTGGATCCAGTAACTTCTGCTATCGAATATCGTTGCAAAACTGTATTAGAATAAAAAAGTAGTGGCATCATTGTGACAGCATCAACAAATCATAGTGTGAGAACATGGCATGGAGATTTAAATCAAAGCATAGATAGTTCTTTTATAAGTAAAACTGTATTAGCAAAAGAGTGGCATGAACGCTGTACGATCAAAGCTTACCTCAAATCCAAAATAAAAAACTAAACATCTGCATGAAGATATAATTTTCCAAAGAAAAAAATGAAGGATCAACATAGAAACAACAAGAATTCCTTTCAAGCAAAGAGTGTTCAAGTACTAGGGTTTTAGTGGTTAAATTGAAGGCTAATGTGGAAAGGATTAGAGTTGATTGGATAGGGTTTTAGTGGTCAAATCAACATCATTAGAACCGGTTACAAGTCTAGTTTCTTACATTTTTGGCCTTGTGTTGATTGCTCATGTATACTAAGAGAAACATTAATATCTTTTAAGTGTTTAGTTTTTTAATATCTTTTAAGTGTTTAGTTTTTAATATCTCTTAAAAGATGTTAATGTTTCTCTTAGTATACATGAGCAATCAACACAAGGCCAAAAATGTAAGAAGTTAGACTTGTAACTGGTTCTAATGACGCTGGTTTGACCACTAAAACCCTATCCAATCAACTCTAATCCTTTTCACATTAGCCTTCAATTTAACCACTAAAACCCTATTGCTTGAACACTTTTTGCTTGAAAGGAATTCTTGTTGTTTCTATGTTGTTTTGGCTTAAGGAGTCATTTCCTGGACCCTTCATTTTTTTCTTTGGGAAATTGTATCGTCATGCTGATGTTTAGTTTTTTATTTTGGATTTGAGGTAAGCTTTGATCGTTTTACAGCGTTCATGCCACTCTTTTGCTAATACAGTTTTACTTATAAAAGAACTTTCCATGCTTTGATTTAAATCTTCATGCCATGTTCTCACACTATCATTTGTTGATGCTGTCACAATGATGCCACTACTTTTTTTATTCTAATACAGTTTTGCTTATAAAAAACTCTAGCATTTTGTTAATTTCAAACAAGTTTTTGGTAGAAATTTTAGGCCCTCTAGCATTTTGTTAATTTCAAACAAGTTTCTTAGGTATATATAACTACTGAAATTTAACATGGAAAACCCACTTGTTTGCTAGAAAATATGGAGAAAGACACAACGTCATATAACTACTGACTCCTTTCATTGCTTTTTCTTTTATAATGTGTTTGGTTGAGGGATTTAGGGAGGTATTTGGAAAGGAAAAGGTTTGTGAAATTAGGTGAAATGTAAGTATATTTTATTCACATTTCATCTACCTTTTCTATTTTCCTTTTCAAATCAATTCTTAAATTCCCCAACCAAACACAGCTTTAGTGGCTTGATAACTGAGTGGATGCTGTATTCTCTACCCTATGTAAATTTTGCAATAAGTATTTGACTTTGGGATTTTTTTTTTGACTATATTGTTCTTTTACAGCGAAAAGTGATGGATGAGAAAATCAGACTCAAGGAGGAACAGGAGGAGTTTAAGGTACTCAAGGAGGAAATGGACGTGAAAGTGGGACCGCCAAAAAGAGATGAATGGATGACGACGTTACCCCCAGAAAGAAAAGTAAGCCCTCTTATTTGTTTGTTCACTGTTTTCACTTTTTTCCAAACCCCTGTCCTCCCCTCCTCCCATTTTCCTTTCCACTTTTCTTCTTCCCCACGGAACTAGAAGTATACTCGTATGATAGCAATGTTATTCTTTTTGTAGTCTGAAGAATATTTTAAACAAAATGAAAGTATACTTGTATCAAACTGTAAAATAAAGGAACTTGTGTTACAAAACACCATGAAATGTTTTTTGATCGGACATTCTAACGTTAATGCTCCCTTTTGCTTGTTGGTAACTTGAGTCGCTATTGTTTTTTTTTATATCTTCAGCCTGGTGTGCCTACACAAACAACAAAGTTTAGCCGGACCTCTAAAGATGGACGTGGCGATACCAGTATTTGGACAGATAACCCATCAGAGAGAGCCCAAAAAGCAAAGATGAAGTACGTATTATATTTATGTTTAGTTTATTTTTTTTCCCCTATTGATTTTGCACTTGAGGGATATCCGGGACTCTTGGAACTCATTAGGTTCACATGGCAGTAACTTAGAGGCCTATAACGAGGCTGCAGCACTCGCTTCTACGGATCAAGAAAATAAAATTACAAATTCAGATGCAGCATTGGTGGATGAATATAACAAAAGGAAACGGCCGAAATCATTGGTAGAAAAGCACAGAGAGGCTGCTCGGACTAGCAGTAGTTCTAAAAAGAAATCCAAGCAAGAGCGAGCAAAAGAGGAGTGGGAGGGGCAACATCCATGGAAGCCTTGGGATCGTGAGAAGGACTTGACAGCTGGGCGGCAAAGTGTAAAACTGTATGCTGAAGACATGTCACAGGGTCTGGCATCCCGTTTTTCTTCTGGAACCTTCCAGAGGAACTTCCTTTAGGGTACAAATGGTGGGTTTGGTTAACATGACTGATTTGCTTCATCCTTTGAGGTTCATAGTTCGCATGACGCTGGCAGGCAGAAGGATATCCTTGCTTTGTGGTTCGCTTGTTCAGATTTTGGTTTCATACTGAGATGTCAGTCCCTTCTTCTATTTTATATTTAGAAGTTGCGGATTCCAACTGAACTGCACAGTTTCATATTTTTCATGATGTTAGAATTTCTCTGTAGGTTGTGTTTGCATAGTTGATTTGTCAGGGGAAATAAAATAAGGAAAATGAAATTGCTCATTTTTTTTTTTTTTTTTCTTTTCTTCTCTTAATGTTATGGGTAATTGATGCAGATCTGGTTGACACCAAGTTGTTGGAGCAGTTGGATCTCATATGCCAAAAACATTGAGTCTGTTAGCTTGGATTTATTTCAAATCAAGGGATAGGACTGTTATTTATACACAAAATACTTATATATAATATAAACTTTCACAAAAAACATTGAATAACTAAAATCATAAATGAAGAAATTAATACAGAGAAAATAATAAAGATATATTATATGTAGATGGGAGTTGGAGAAAAAAATTATTGACGTATGGAGGAGTGCAAGTGACACTTGCGTCTCTACAAGTTTTCATTTGAATCCTACCATGGACACGTGCACTCCCATTGTGTTTGTAAATTTTTTTTGCAACTCCTACTTGTGTCTCATTACAGATGTACTTGCACTCACAGTGTGTTTGTAAATTTTGTTCCTAACTCTTACCCTGCATGTAATTCTTCCAAAGTAGTTTATGAGATTGATGAGTAATTCTTCCAAAGTAGTTTATGAGATTGATGAGAAGCGTGATAAGTTGCAATTCCAAAGTCATATTTGTCGTTTAAGTAAATTCTAGCAGTTATATTTGTCTCGTTATTTAAATTTTAGCAGATAAATTACAATTTCGAGATGTAATTTAGGCTTCATTTGACAACATCACTTTTTAACTTAAAAGTAAAAAGTTACTAAAAATACCAAAAGCCAACAATTTATACCAAACAGTTAAAGATTTCATTTTTTCTCTAATTTTTGCACATCTTTTCGTAAAAAATCAAAAAGTCATCCCAAGCATATTAGTTTTTTTATCTCATATTTTAGTCAAAAAGTGAAAAAGTTACTAAAATAATTTATTCCCAAATGAAGCCTTAGAATCTTTGAATGTTTGACATAACGCACAATCAATTTGGATAACAAACAATTTACAATCAACGTCTGACATAACTCAGAATCCTTTAATTTAAATCATTTTATTAAAAAACATTAAACTGTTTATTTTCAAAATTTTGAAGCTTTTTCCTAACAAGAGCAAGGTACACAGTATATTCTTGCAAGAATTCCATACTTTCTCTTTGGGTAACTTACACTTTATTTTTAAAATTTTATTTCAATATGATATTTCTGTGACCACTTTTTTTAAATTTAAAAGTCAACAATATAAGCAACTTTGACAAAAAGTAAACTCAATATTGGTTCACTCTTTATAGATGTGTTTGCCATTGAATAACAGTAACATTGGTGCATTTATGCTGTGACTTATAACCTATCACATAGCCTTTAAAGTTGAACATTGTCCCCAAGTATATTAAAATAATTGTAGAAGACCAGACAAAAGGAATAAACTCTAGAAAATATGATGATCAAAACCTTATAAATCTGTGGAAAATGGAAAAGAAGGCAACATGGGTTGTGTGAGTGAAGAGATATGTCATTTTCAATCATACTCAAGGCCCCTCCCTCCACCTCCACCCCCTTCTCTAGAAGGTTTATTTGTTACGTTCTGTTTGATTAGAAAATTTAAAGAGAGATTAAAAAAAGAACAGAGAAAAAGTGTATGCAATTATGTAAAATATAAATATATTTTATTCACATTTTACCTAATTTTTTTATTTGTCTTTCCAAATCTCTCATCAAATCTCTCAATCAAACACAACATGACCGTTTAAATCATTATCAAGCTTACTTACTCATCTTGTTTGTTTGGTGTAATTTATGAAGATTTTTTAAAGACTTTTTTCTCATTTTTTTTTTTTTTTGTGTGGATATTTATGTGAAAGTATACTGTTTTTTAATTATCAATTATCAATTTTTAATTTTTAAGAAAGTGCACTAAGTAAGCCTACTTTCTCTTTTTTATCTCTCCTAAAATATAATTATTCAATATTTTTAAAATAACACATGAGGTTGTCCCTCTAAAAAGTGTTTGTTGTTGATAAGATGCCTATAGAAGCTTTATTTACACTATTTCTTCTTTGCTAAAGCAAGGCCTTCCAAACACAGCCTCCCTTTGTTTCCTACAAAAATATTTTCGTACATAATTTTTTTCAAGGAAATATTTTTCGTTAATTTTTTTTGTTTGTTTATATTTGGTTGTGTTTTTAAAATTAATGTGTACTAGTTATATTATTAGTGATGGTAATAGTAAGGTGGTGAAAATGGTAACAGTGGTGGCGGAAGTGATAGTTGCGGTGGTAGTAGAATGGTGAAAAAGATGATTACTTTGATAATTGACCATTGATAAAACTTTTTGTTCAAGAAATATTTTTTAACTTTTAAAATTGAAAAACATGTTAAACTAAAAAATTTATTTTCATTAATTTCTCCCCCCAAAAAAAAAAAAAAAAAAATTGAAACAAAAGTTTCACTTGTAACAAATGTCCGTACAAAATTTATTTTGATCACAAAGATAAACAAATCTATAAGCTAATCAAATCTAAAGAAGGTCCAAAGGATCATTTGTATATATGGCAATACTGTACATGTTATTTTGGAAAAAAAATTAAAAATAGTAAACAAAAAAAAAAGAAAAAAGGAGGGATAATCTTCTATGTACAAAAAATGTATTAAGATTAATTTATATGATTTTGCCTAAATTTTAATTCAACTCCATCTTTCATATCAATCGATTGAGTGAATCAAATATTGAATTTAAAATAATAATAATAATAATAAAAAAGTATGGATAGAAAAGGAAAGTGGGTAGATTGCATATGATTTGTGATGATTTCATCAGATTGGGTTCATCGTACTTATCACTGATTGGTTGATAGTCGTGCTCCCATCTATTTGTAAGTTGATGATGACATTTTGTTTTATAAGAACGATAGAGATCCTTTTTTTTCTTGATCTCACAATCTCTACATATACATATTAGTAACATATTAGTGAGTGATAGAAAGAAAAAAAAATATAAAAAATAAGAAATTAACTAATTTCAATACATTAGGGGTGGTGGGGGTCAAAAAAACAAAAAAGGGAATCTCAACTTTTTTTTCTTTGTTTTATTTTTCTTCTTCTTTACGTTTAAAGAAATAGGTCGTGTTTGATGGCAGGTTTGAGAGGGTGGATTGGATTACCAATCTGCGAGGCCCACCAAACCCTTGTTTGGATGCAACAAAATGTTATAGGATTAGTAATGAAGGGGGCTTAGTAATCCCCTTCTGTAAGGGGATTAGCTTGGGTAAATTTTGAGTGGGATTAGAAAAATAGTGAGGGGATTGAGTTTATTTTATATAATAATTTTAATTTTTTTTTTTACGAAGTGCACCTATTTGTTTTAGTTTTTTTTTTTTAATATAGAAATAATTTATTTTTTTATTTTATATAAAAATAATTTAACAATCCCATCACTAATTATCTCGCACACTATCATCAAAACAAACACACTTTTATTTAATCTCCTCACTAACAATCCACACATTAACAATCTTTTTACTAACAATCCTCTTACTAATAATCCCATCAAACCTAATCAGTCAAACAAACGTGGCCTAAATTCAATTAAAATTTATTTAAATTTGATTGAGTTTCTAAATTTTTTATTGAATTAAAAATAAATTAATAATTTTTTTAAAATTTATTAATTTGTTAATATTTTTTTATGTGATATTCAAACAAGAGAATTTTTATTAATTGACTTAGGTTTCACATTTTTTTTTTTTTTTTTTTTTTGGTGAGTGATATTTGTCATCTTATGTGAAGATAAAACTAGCCTATAAATTCAGAAATGTTTGAACAAGAATTCTAGATACAGTGCTTCTACAGACCACAAAACAATGTTTAGGGTTTTGATTACCAAAGGATGGTTGATAGTCAAGTCAATCGAGTTCACTTCACTTCTTCAGGGAAAAAAAAACATGATAAGTTATGATATTAATTTTTATTCTTGGTGAGTGTTATTTGTCTTCTTATGTGAAGATAAAACTAGCTTGTAAGTTCAAAAATGTTTGAACGAGAATTCTAGATATAGTGGTTCTACAGACCACAAAAAAATGATCAGGGTTTTGATTATCAAAGTATGGTTGATAGTCAAGTCAATCGAGTTCACTTCACTTCTTCAAGAAAAAGAAAAAAAAATGATAAGTTATGATATTAATTTTTTTTTTTTTTTGGGTGAATGTTATTTGTCTTCTTATGTGAAGATAAAACTAGCCTATAAGTTCAAAAATGTTTGAACGAGAATTCTAGATACAGTGGTTCTACAGACCACAAAACAATGATCAGGGTTTTGATTATCAAAGTATGGTGGATAGTCAAGTCAATCGAGTTCACTTCACTTCTTCAAGAAAAAAAAAATGATACAGTGGTTGTACAGACCACAAAACAATGATCAAGGTTTTGATTACCAAAGTATGGTTGACAGTCAAGTCAATAGAGTTCACTTCACTTCTTCAGGAAAAAAAAAATGATAAGTTATGATATTAATTTTTATTCTTTTTTTTGGTGAGTGTTATTTTTCACTTCACTTCTTCAAGAAAAAAAAAATGATACAGTGGTTGTACAGACCACAAAACAATGATCAGGGTTTTGATTACCAAAGTATGGTTGACAGTCAAGTCAATCGAGTTCACTTCACTTCTTCAGGAAAAAAAAAAATGATAAGTTATGATATTAATTTTTATTCTTTTTTTTTTTGGGTGAGTGTTATTTGTCTTCTTATGTGAAAGATAAAACTAGCCTATAAGTTCAGTAATGTTTAAACGAGAATTCTAGATACAGTGGTTCTACAGACCACAAAACAATGATCAGGGTTTTGATTACCAAAGTATGGTTGGTAGTCAAGTCAAGCTAGTTCACTTCACTTCACTTCTTCAAGAAAAAAAAAAATGATAAGTTATGATATTAATTTTTATTCTTTTTTTTGGTGAGTGTTATTTGTCTTCTTATGTGAAGATAAAACTAGCCTATAAGTTCAGAAATGTTTAAACGAGAATTCTAGATACAGTGGTTCTACAGACCACAAAACAATGATCAGGGTTTTGA